ATAGATACAATGACTGATTTATCCAAGATGGGCTCAACCATACTCTTCCTTTTACCAAGGAAGAATGATCATGGTAAACACTTCTCTTTCAACTCCTTGGTGAGATGATTCTAACAATATTTTATAACTAGCCAAACTGAGGAATACAGTATTTTGATAATTAAGAGGTAACATTTTGTTAATCTCTCTTTGTCTAGAAGTTATTTATTGAATATGTACATGTTCATAGATTCCTGGGGAATCATAAATGAATGATATTGATTATTATACAGAATAGTTTGACTTCTACTAATAGAAACCTTCAAATAATAGCCCCAGAGGGACAGGGCTAGTATGTTGCTGATTTTCAGGTAATTTTCACCATCCATGTTGTCATAGTCCAAGTTCACATTCATGTTCTCAGACAAAGTAGAGGGGACAAAGGATAGGTGTCAGCTGTCTAGTTTTGAAAGACTTCATCATTATCATTTTTGTTACAAAAAATAGCTTTTTGTGTACAATTCTGAGTTTTAATACATACAAAGATGTGTATTAACAAAACAGCTCTATCCGCCCCCCAAATTCCTTCATTCTACTCCTTTAGAGTCAACACCCTACCCCTGACAAACTCAACCCTTGGAAACCACTGATTATTCTCTATCCCTATACTTTTGCCTTTTAAAGAATGTCATATAAATGGAATTATGTAGTAAGTAACATTTTAGTTCTGGTTTCTTTCACATAGCCTAACACACTTGATATTCATTCATATTGTGTTCATATTTTTTTAATTGCAGAGTAATATTTCATAGTGTGGATGTACTACAATGAATCCATTCACCTGTTGAAGGACTTCTATGCCATTTCCAGTTTGAGTGATTATGAATAAACTTGATGTAAATATTCATGGACAGGTTTTTGTTCTGAACATAAGAGTAGGATTGCTGGGTCATAAGTTAAGTATATAAGTATATGTTTAACATTATAAGAAACTCCCTGTTTCCTGTATGGCTGTCCCATTTTACATTCTCTTCTACACATTCAGATTGCTATGCATCCTCACAGCATATAATATTGTGATATTTTGTTGTTTTTATTGCTTTGCTTTTTTTGTTTGGTTGGGTTTTTTTTAAGCCATTCTAATAGGTATGTGTGTGGTGGTATATCAATACGGTTTTAATTTGCATTCCCCTAATGACTAACAATGCTGACCATCGTTTCAAGTAGTTATTTCAATCTATATATTTTCATTGGGGAAATGTCTCTATGTGGTTAATTTTATATGTCAACTTGGTTAGGCCAGAGTATCCAGATGTTTGGCCAAACACATCTGAATTTTGCTATGAAGATAATTTCAAGATGAGATTAACACTAAAATCACTAAGCTTTGAATAAAGCAGATTACTATCTATAATGTGGGTGGGCCTCATTCAGTCAAAGGCCTTAGGAAAAAGGACTGACTTCCCCCAGAATCCTGACTGTCCAACTCTTTTGCCCATTTTTATACTGAGTTGGTTTTTTTTCATTATTGAGATTTATGTAGTCTTGTTATGGATTGAATGTTTGTGTCCCAAAATTCATGTGTTGATGCCCTAACCCAATGTGATGGTATTAGGAGGTGGGGCCTTTGGGAGGTAACCAGACGTAGATGAGATCATGAGGATGGGGTTTTTGAGACGATTAGTGCCCTTAGTAAGAAGAAACCTTGAGGGCATGCTCCCTCTTGCTCTCTCTCTCTCTCTCCCTCCCTCCACCATGTGAGCACACAGCAAGAAGACAGTCATCTGTAGTCTAGGAGGAGGGCTCTCAATAGGCACCAAATTGGCTAGCCTCTTGCTCCTGGACTTCCCAGCCTTTCCAAATGTGAGAAATAAATGTATGTTATTTAAGTCAGTCTGTTTGTGGTGTTTTGTTATAGCAACCCAAGCTGACCAAGACAGTTCTGTTTAAAAATCCTTTGTTAGATATGTGATATGCAAATATTTTTCCCATTCTATAGCTCTTTTTTATATTCTGAAGAGTGTTTTTCTCATAGAAACATTTTCAATTTTTATGAAGTCCAATTTTTCAATATTTTTTCTTTTGTGGATTGTGCTTTTGGTGCCAGATATATAAGAACTCTTTGCTCAATCCAAGATCATGAAGAGTTTCTTCTAAAAGTTTTATTAGTTAAAGTCTATGACCCATTTTGAATTAACTTGTGTTTTGCTTGAAGAATGGGCCTAGGGTTTTTTGTTTTGTTTTGCTTATTGATGTCCAATTGTTCTAGCACCATTGAAATGACTATCCTTTCTTTATTAAATTGCCTTTGCACCTTTGACAAAATTCAGTTGAACATATTTGTATGGGTTTATTTCTAGACCGTCTCAATTCTGTTCCATTGATCTATGTTTCTATCCTTTTACCACCCTGTTCTCTTACTGTAGCTTTATAGTAAGTCTTAAAATTTGGTAATGTGAGTCTTCCAACTCTTTCTTTTTTCTCCCCCTTTTTAAAATTTAAATTCAATTACCCAGCATATAGTACATCATTAGTTTCAGATGTAGTGTTTAACAATTCATCAGTTGCCTATAACACCCAGTGCTCATCTCATCACATGCCCTCCTTAATGCCCCTCACCCAGTTACCCCATACCCACCACCTGCCTCCCCCCTCCAACTCTGTTTTCATCTTTACAAATTGTTTAAGTTACCTTATTTCTTTTGCCATTCCATAAAATGTTAGAGTCAGCTTGTCTAGATCTACAAAAAAAAAATCCCAGAAGGATTTTTTTTTTAAGATTTTATTTTATTTATTTGACAGAGAGAGAGAACACAAAAGAGAGAACACAGCAGGAGCAAGGGAGGGAGAAGCAGGCTCCCCATGAAGCAGGGAGCCCAATGGATGTGGGGCTCCATCCCAGGACCCTGGGATCATGACCTGAGCAGAAGGCAGATGCTTAAGGACTGAGCCACCCAGGCACCCCTCCTACTGGGATTTTTATTTATGTTCTTTGTGTAAATGTTGTTGAAAGGGTAGTTTGGAAGAAAGAGCACCAGTGCCTTGCTTGCAAAACATCAGGAATGTGAGAGACCCTTAAAGAATGGTTGCTATAAAACTGATATTTCTCTCTTACTTGTATAGCTATTGTAAATTTGTAAATGGCCTTTTGTTTTAAATTTCTAATTGTTCATTGTGAAGTATACAAATACAACTGGTTTTGTATATTATCTCTTTTCCTGCGATTTTTCTAAAATCCCTAATTAATGCTAGAATTTTTTTTTTATAGATTTGTTGGGATTTTTCTGTGTAAACAATTCTGTCAACCAGGAATAGGGAGAGTTTTGTTCCCATCATATGCTTTTTATTCCTGTTTCTTGTCTTATCATGCTGAATAGGACTTCCAGTACAATGACAAATAAGAATGGTGAAAGCAGACATCTTTGCCTTGTTGCAAAGCATGGAAGAAAAGCATTCAGTCTTTCACCATTCAGTGTGATGTTAGGTTGTGGGCTTTTGTAGATGCCACTTTTCATACACAGAATTAAAGGAACCCTTTCCTTACCTCCTTCCTCTCTGTGATTTTCCCCATAACTCTGGCTCTCAGAAGCACCCTTTTCTGATGCTCTGTCCCTAAGTCCAGTCCTTTAGCCTCCCTGTTTGCCCAGCACTTCCCCCTGTTGTGTCTGCCTTGAAGTGGAGAATTCAGAGAAAAGAGCCTTAGGTGCCACTTCTTACCACCACTACTGGAGGGATGCAGCTTCATTGCTGAGGCTCCATCCTCTAGGAGCCTGTCTTTATAGCCCTCTTGTTGGAGAGAGAGAGAATTTTGGGGGGAGATCTTTCTTCTTTCTTTCTTTTTTTCTTTCTTTCTTTCTTCTTTCTTTCTTTCTTCTTTCTTTTTCTTCTTTTGAGAGTGTGTGTGTGTGTGTGTGTGTGTATGTGTGCAAGTAGGGAGTGGGAGGAGGGGCAAAGAGAGAGGGAGAGAGAGAGAATCTTAAATAGGCTCCATGCCCAGTGTGGATCTTGATCTTAGGACCCTGAGGTCATGACCTGAGCTGAAATCAAGAGATGGACACTTAACCAACTGAGCCACCCAGGAGCCCCTGGGAGAATTTTCTATCCATGCATAATGCACTGTTCTAGGATTTGGGATACCTAGAATGTAATCCAGTAGATATGAGAGGAAAAACAAGCAAACAAGGAATTCACTGCCATTTGGGATATTCTTCAAATTTCTTTCTATCTCCAGTCTGACTGCTATTATTTAGTTTTCAGAGTTCTCAGTTCTTTTATTTTTTTTGACTAGGGATTTTAGCTGTAAACAGTGAGAGATGGGATGCTCACTTCTTATATGGAATTAGAAATCTATCAGCCATTTTGTAAGAAAGTTGAAGCCTCAAGCTTACACAACAGTCAGGCTTACATCTCATTGACCAGAACTTAATAATATGACCATACTCACCTGCAAAGGTGCATGACCAAATGCCCAGCCAAAAGCTAGAGGCTTTGTCACCACAAAAAAAAAAAAAAAGGAAAAATAGATATTAGGGAACATTTAGTAGTTTCTACACCACTATTCTTACCTTCAAAAATCTCAATGTCTAATAGGGCAGAAAGGCATGCAAGCCATGAGTTACATTATTATGTTGTAAGTGTTATAAGAGAGATTTGACCTCGAGAGCATAGTTTCCACACTGGAGCCTTTGAATCTAGGGCAGTCTGGGATAGTCACATAGGTCCTAAGTCTTTGTCATCTTTTGCAAAACTTCACAGAAGTCTTATGTTTACCTTTGATTAGTTTCCAAAAGTTAGCAATGCATTACATTTCTTTTCCTTTGGTTGGAATTCTGTCAACTCAATTAATAATTCTAGTTTTTTCATCCTGATTAGAAATTTAGAAAATTTCTGTTATTAAAAATATAAAACAAATTACTTTTTACTTAATAAGTGCAATATAGTAGACAATATCTTTCAAAACATGTTGGTAGATTTCATTAGTCTAGATTCTTTTGACAGCAAATAAAATAGTAAAAATCCAGTTCAGTTCTTAGATAGTTTTTATAAAACAAAAAAGAAAAGAGGCATTTATTGGCTCATATAATTGAGAAAAACATAGAGAATAAGCATTATTCATGATTTTTTTGAGGGTTCAAAGTATCACCAGCTAGCTTTTTTGTCTCTTAGCTTCTATGCAGCATGGGCATTTTTCCAATTAAAGTGAAGATCACCATTGGTCAAATAGATTACTAGTATATCTTCATAGCAATATCACTGGGAAGAGTCAATTCCTTTCTTCCAGAATCCATACTTCAATCACAGGAATGAGATCTGATTGACTTTGGTGGGATAGACACCCATTCCAAACCAATCACCATGGGCAAGATGATATGGTCCGAAGTTTGGCCCATCATGGATTATAGACTCACCCTGATGATCATGGTTGTTACTAGATGACCAGATGAAGAAAGAGGCAAAAGAAAAGAATCTGTGTTGGGAAAATAAAAATAACAGCGACCAAGCATTAATATAGAGTACAAGAAGAGAACCAAATATGATACTTGAAATCATTTACTATTATTTTTACTTGGGTATCTTTTTTTTTTTACTCAACTCCAGAGTTACATCATCCACTAACTTTTTCCATTGAGAAAGATCACAATCAAAAAAATCTCTGAAATTATTACTTAGAATATATTCTAAATTTAATTTTCTTCTTTCTGTCAAGAGTTCTGAATTGTCACTTTGTGTCCCCAAGTCAGGAATATTTTCTGTCATTAGAGCCAGAGAGGAAATAACAACTTCATTTTAGCCATAGGTGGTATAGATCCGAAAGCTCTTTATTTTATTTTTTTCTCCATTCCTTTGCCACATTCCAGCTGTGATACAGATAACCTAGCACCAGGCCTGAGTGTTAATTTGAAATATTATAGTTTCCTACTTAAAGAAAAGTTCTAAATTGCTTTTACTTAAACTTTCAATGGTCACTTAGTAAATATTTATTAAATGAATAAATTATAAATGAATAATCTGATAAATATTGCTCATTCAGAATATCAAATGTGAAAGATACTTCTGTCTTTTTTTTTTTTTTTTGAGATCTTGCAATTTCCCTTCTATACACTTAACATTGATGATGCATGTTTTACCCTAATTAAAAATGTGATCTCAGTTCTTTTTCCTTTTTTCTAGCCTATGGCTCATTGCATTTCTGGAAACAGTATTCCTACCATCATACCAATTTTAAAAACTTGACTGAATTTCTCACTGTTTCTGTCCTCTTTCCATCATCTCAGAACCTATCTGGTGCCAGTATGTCTGGGATTCTCAATTCCCGATGTGTTTGTTCTTGTTTGGGAAGTCAAATAATAAACAAAGCATATTTAGAAACAGATTTTACTCCCTCGACTCTTGATAATGACTGAATTAATACTCCTTCATTTATACCTATGCACCTGCTATGCTTCTTTTTACTACCAGAACTCCACTCTAACTATGTAATATTCTTTTCTCCATTCATTTGTACATTTGTAAACATGGTAATTTCTTAAAATCTTTCCCCCTCTTCTTGATTTTTTTTTTTGTAAAGGCAACTCTATGGGATTATTTTCAGTTGTAGTCATTCTTTCAAGTTATATACTAGATTTATTACAGCTTTGTATATGTTGGTCGATTTGATCTATGGTCAATTCTGACATAGGAAGATATAGAAATTTTACCAGTCAATATCAAGATGAGAAACTGAGACATCACCAATCTGCCCTTTGCTTTTTACTATTTAGAATTCACATACTTCCCCCCAGATTCATGCATCACTATCATGTGGAAGCTTTTTTACCTCTTCGGGGAAGAGATGGAGAGGTAGATAGCTTGTGGGTACTCTGTAATGATACTGACTATTGGTATTCATGGCTTTATGTAATCCCCTCCTCTTTAGGAACTTGCTTCTAGCCACTAGAATATCTTAACATTGAGGTGATGTCATGTCCATGATTAAATTACAAGAGATTTTAACTTTTATCTTGCTAGCAGACTGTTTCTTTGGTGACTTTTTTTTTTTTAAGATTTTATTTATTTATTTGACAGAGAGAGACAGCTAGAGAGGGAACATAAGCAGGGGGAGTGGGAAAGGGAGAAGCAGGCTTCCTGCTGAGCAGGGAGCCCCATGCGGGGCTCTAACCCAGGACCCTGGGATCATGACCTGAGCCGAAGGCAGATGCTTAGTGACTGAGCCACCCAGGCGCCTCCTTTGGTGACTTTGATAAAGCAAGCTGCCGTGTTGGTGAGCTGCCCTATGGAGAGGCCCCCATGGCAAGGTATTAAGAATAGCCTCCAGCTTACAGCCATCAAGGAACTGAATTTAGCCAACAACCACATGAACTTGGAAGTGGATCCTTCCCCAGCTGAACTCTGATGGGGTGTCAGTCCTGGTCAACACCTTGATTGCAGCTGTGTGAGAAACGGTACAGAAGAGGTCCCAGATAAGCCATGCCTGCAGAAATTGTGATATAATAAATGTGTGTCGTTTGAAGTGACTGTGATAATTTGTTACACAGCAATAGATAATTAATATAGATGGTCTTTAGGCCTTTATGTTATTCTGTACATATTTTTATCATAGCACTTATCACATTCTATTCTCTATTACACAGATAACTCCCAAATTTATATCTCTAGACTAGACCTTTCTCTTGAGCTTCATATGTAAAACTTCATTTCAGTGTCCTATATATACCTCAAACTGACCATGTCTAGAACTCAATCTCTAATTGCTTCTTCTATTACATTTCCTATCATAAATAGTAATATCAATATCTGCCCAATTGTTCAAGCTAACAACTTGATTTCTCTCTTTTCTCTGTGATCCCTTTTTTTTTTTTTTAAGATTTTATTTATTTATTTGAGAGAGAGACAGCAAGAGAGGGAACACAAGCAGGGGGAGTGGGAGAGGGAGAAGCAAGCTTCCCGCTAAGCAGGGAGCCCAATGCAGGGCTTGATCCCAGGACCCTGGGATCATGACCTGAGCCAAAGGCAGACGCTTAATGACTGAACCACCCAGGCGCCCCTCTCTGTGATCCTTTAAAAAGCAAGTCAGAAATATGTCTTTGTTTAAAACCTTTCTATGCTTTCCATGCATTGCTCTTGTAATAAAATTCTAATTCCTAATCACACCCTATAAGACTTATTAAGTTGCATATTTATCTCTAACCACCACTTTCCACTTCTCATCCCCGTGATTTTCCTCAAGCCAGCCATAGTAAGTAAACCTAGATTTTTGAACTTGTCATGCTTTCTCTTTTCATCTTTTTCTATATTATACTGTTCCTTGTCCATGCTTATCTTCTTCATACCTCCTTTGCTCAATTTGATTCCATTCATTTTTCTGATCTCAGCTTAAATTCACTTTCATCAGGAAGTCTGCCTTGATAATCCCCTTTCCACGTCTTGTCTGTGTTAGGATTTCCTCTGTCATTACCTCCAAAGCACCTGTATTTTTCCTTTCCCAGCACTATCTCATTGTTTGTGAATGCCTATTCACTTCTCTGTGTTTCTCATTACACTGTAAACTTTCATAAAGGCAGGAACTGTGTTGAGATTTTTCACCCAATAAGTCCCTTATGCCTAGTAGAGTGTTCCATTGTAATTTGTATTTCCTGTTCACTGTGATGTTCAGCATCTTTTCATGTGCTTTTTGTTCATTTGTGTATCTTCCCTTGTGAAGCATATGTTCAAATTGGTTGCCCATTTTTTAAATTGAGATGTTTATCTTTTTATTATTGAGTTGTAAAAATTCTTTATATATTCAGGATACCAATTATTTGTTGGCTGTGTGTATTGCAAATATGTTCTCCTGTCTGTGACTTATTTTCATTTCATTTTCATTTTCTTAACAATGTCTTTCAGAACATTTTTAATTTGGTTAAATCTCCATTTGTTAATATTTTTCTTTTATGATTTTTGTTTTTTTGTATCTGAGGAAATTTTTGTCTAATCCAAAGTCAGGAAGATTTTATACTTTGTTTTCTTCTAGAATTTTTATTGTCCTTTTATGCTTAGATCAGTCATACATCTCAGGTTAATTTTTCTATGTGGTGTGAGGTAAGAGTTGAGATTCATTTTTTTTCCCATATAGATATCCAGTTCTTTTAGCACCATATATTGAAAAGACTATTCTTTTTTCATTGAATAACTTCAGCATCTTTATAAAAATCAGTTGACCAAGTATATGTGGATCTCTTTCTGGATTCAATAACCATAACTCATGAGATCACCTGGGTAGCCCTTCTAGCTGAATAGATAATGGAGAAGAGCCTTTTGGAAAGAACATAAGATTTCAGCAGAGATTGAGAAGAGACATGGAAGGTATTAATCTTACAGCTAGCTATCTCCTCTCCCTTTACCCATTCTCCACCCAGAGTAACTCTCCTACCACCAGTACTTTTTCCTGGACTAGGTCACTTCCACAAAGGCATAAGTAGGTTATTCAGGTCATGAAAGCCATTTAATCACATAAGTGTGACTCCTCTTTTAGATTTTCTTTGGAAGTTGTAGACAAGTGAAAGTCGGGACAGGTGCATATAGTGATTTTTACTTTCCCAGTCTGTTTCTTAGCCCTGCTTAAGTCTCCAGTTAGATGCATATAGCTATCATTACATTAGAAAATTTTCATTTAAGCTCAGTAGATAAGTATAGATGAAAACATCATAAGAAAAAGCATAATCAGGGTAATTCACATTCATGGTAACTGCTAAAGCTGAGAATGAATGCATATCAAGAATAATAATACAAGACTAATTGATCTATATGGATAGAAGAGATAAAACGAATCCATATTTACACCTACATTGGTTCCACATCCTATGCTATTTGAATTTACAGCTTACTTTGAAATGTCTTTGAAAGGTACTGTTTGTTCAATGAATACATTTAAAAATAGTACCAGAGGCTTGACTGAACCCTGGGGTCCCCTAGCAGATTTCAGAGCAGACAGGAGAAGAGTTTTTAGCATTTTACTATACCATGGACATTTTCATTTCACTTTTCAAAAATAACTCCTACATTTTCAAACAAACATTGCTCTACTTCTACAAGATACTGCTGTCAGAAACCCTCATCTTGTGTTAGATGAAAGTGTCCTTATGTCTTGGTGGCTGTCTCCTGTATTAATAATTTCTATAAGGCATTGTTAATAGAAATTCAAGATGCACTTCCTGAGATCGCACCATGTGCTGCGTCATCCTGAGAGTTTGAATCACCCTATAGGTATATTTGAACATTACTTGCACATATAATGTAATGACAATTTTTATATTTGAATCCTTTCCTTAGATTTCTTTTACTTCTGTAACATATGCAACATTTTCATTTGCATCATTTTTGTGGCCATTAACTTGTTCTGGGTTATCTTGTAGTTATTTGGAACTTTGATTTAGTTTTCTAATTTTTTTTGTAAACTCCATAAAGATAAGTACCATAGCCTACTCATCTCTGTTCTCTCCAAAGCACTAACAAAGTACCATTAATTTTGTTATATTCCATGTACATTTGTTAAAATAATATTTTTGTACAGATATTAATAAATACCAGGACTAATTCTATAGTTACATACTAATCATATTAGCAAGCTTCCAGTCTACTTACATTGCCAGGAACACAATTAAGCTCATGGCCTATCCAATTCTCAGTAATGAGAAGACAGGTTTGACAGTGTGGGATGATTAAAATGCTTAATGTTCAATTAGTCTTCTTGGATTAAGTCTAGTAAAGGAAAAGACAGGTAATTTAAAGTATTATAGAGAATATTATTTTACAAAAACCTTAAGAGGGCAATTTGAAAAGGGCATTGATTGCTCAAAATGTAAAATATCCAAGGCACCATTTTTTGAAACTACAAAGACCAGATAAAAGGATTATAAATATACTGAAAGTGAGTGATACAGACTAGAAACCAGAAAAATGCAGCAAAACTCGATATGAAGAATTTATTTAATCTAGCAGAAATAGGAGAAGGTGGACAATATAAATGACTCTTAAATCTACAGTGACATCTATTATCATAAATTACCAAGATGAGGAATGCTATGATATCAAAAGTAATTTTCTTGAGTCATTACATTTCAAAGACATAGCACAATAGCAAGTATATAAAAATATGAATGTGTGAAATGTGAACAAATTTCCCCCACTGGGAAGCAAAGGAAGTTATAGCTCCTTGTGAAGCATTCAGGGATGAAGTCAGTGATCAGCAGTATTAGAGTTGGGGTTGGTGGTTGTGGCATGTACATGTGTGCACCAACCAGCTATGGAATGTACTCCCAACATTTGGGAACCAATTCGGAACATGAATTTGGTGAAATTTGCTATCACTAGAAATAACTTGTTTTCTTTTTCTAAATTTTTTTATTGTTATGTTAATCACCATACATTACATCATTAGTTTTTGATGCAGTGTTCCAAGATTCATTGTTTGTGCATAACACCCAGTGCTCCATGCAGAACGTGCCCTCTTTAATACCCATCACCAGGCTAACCCATCTTCCTACCCCCCTCCCCTCTAGAACCCTCAGTTTGTTTTTCAGAGTCCATCGTCTCTCATGGTTCGTCTCCCCCTCCGATGTCCCCCCCTAGAAATAACTTAAGAGATAGTATCTGAATATGCTGCTGCTAAGGCAAGGAGCCCCCACACTCAAGCATTTTAGGCTAATTTTTTCAGAGCTTCCGTGTCAAATCTTGCTTTCCCACATGGAGTTGCATCCCATTTCATAGAACATGTGTTTTGGAGGGGACCTTGGGGACCAAGGAATCCAACTTTCTATCTAGTCACATGAAATACTGAACAAGTAGGTAGTCTGATCTGTCTGTGAATACTTTCCACAAATTTACTCATTCTAAAAACCTACACTCTAATTTTGGATTTTTCTGAATCTCTTGAGATAAAATCTGAAATTTTACACATTGGCTGTAGTTCTGTTCAATGGAGCCACAGAATTTGAAACTCATTTTGTACCTGCATTAATGCCTTTTAAATGTTTGAATTTAGTTCTTCCTAAAACTTTCTATCACATCAGCTAAATGTTTCTAATCTCTGGTGCAACGCGACTTCTGGTTCTCTTGTGATCCTGGTTGCCCTTCACTTGTTCCCTTTCTTCTGAATGAATTCTCACTTGTCTGTATCTTTAAGGTATTGTGACTTCCACTGCAATGAAAAGTGGGAAGAACTAATTCATGAAAGAAGAAATACAAATTTCCAAGAAATATGCAAAAGTGTTTAATTCCCATAGTAATCAGCTAGATGCTAATTAAAGCAAGATAACTTTTTTAGCATATGTAAAATTGGCAAAGATGGAAAAAATAACACCAATTTTTGGCAAGGGTGCCGGGAAGTAGTCACCTCTGTACGTTGGTACAATAAAAGAGAAAAAATCAGAGAAGAGTCCAAAACTTCATAAACAAGCCTGTTCATCATATAGTGAAAAATGATGGAGGAATGGTTAAATACATTATGGCACAATATAGCTATTAAAAACGTTTTAGGACAACTTAGTGACATTGGGAAAATGCTTGCAATTTCTTATTAAGGAGAAAAAACAAGTTTTTAAAAATATTTCCAGAAGTAGTCTGATCAATTCTGAACCTTGCTATCTTGACTTAGACTCTTCTACGCATCTTAGGTCACAGTGACCTTTTAGATTGCTATGTATCACATTAGAGTGTTCTAAAACCTCCAAATACTTCTCATGAGTACTGCTGTTAAGTCATGCCCTTGTCTTTTTCGAACCTAAGTGCCCTGCTTTACATTTGTTCCTGTCAAATTTCATTTGGTTGTATTGAACCCATATGTTTGTGTTGTTGAATGCTTTTTTCCCCTTTTTATATTGTTCCATATTGAACAGCCACTCACAGCTCTGCATGATCCACAGATCCATTTGCATGACATTAATGTCCTCATTCGACATTAATGCCCCTTTTATCTATCAAAGATAATAGAGTATATCCTTTTTTTTTTTTTTTTTAAACTAGGGATGAAACCCATTATAATCAGCATCACCAAAAGATGTGTTGGACAAACCATTTTAAGTTCAGGTAAAACTGCCACTAAAGACGGAAAACCATTCTAAGTGAATTGCATTGTATCTGTTGTATTTCTGCGGAAATTTAGGCATGTGGAGGAAAATTATTATGGAAGATTACGTAGATTTTTAACTGACTTCATAAGCATAGAAAATTGTATGTTTGCAAAATGTTACCCGTGACAGATGCAAGAACTCTTAACAATGCATGGTGTAAGATGCTGCCAGTGCATGTGGATACTGTGTATTTGTGTTATTCAGCAGCTTTAGCCATGGGCTAAGGGCTGGTAAGAACCTCCATTTAATCCTTGAAAGCACCTTCAGATATTATCACCTGTTAACAAGCCTTACGCAGAAATTCAAACTTATGTGATTTACCAACCAGGTGCTATAGTTTCTTGTCCTTAAAAGGAATTCCACATTGATCTGGAAGAAGGTAAACATTGGCAGCTTCTCTTCTCTAATTATTTTGTTTTTAGAGTCTCAACTAATCTCTCTCAGTGGACAAACTAAGAAAATTTATATGCTAACATACAAAGCATTTTTCCCAAGACAGCAAATAGTTTCCTATTAGGTGAGAAAGAACTTTAGGATGTGGAATTCTGTTAGCATTAAGGGAAAAGGATTTCTAGATAGCTTAAAGAAAATAATGTGCAAAAATAGAAAGTATTGAGAAAGGAAGAAAAATGTTGGGAGCTGAAGAGAAACATTCTGAAGGGCCTCTCTCCATGGGAATATACCATGTGCTGGACAAGGGAAATATGGACATATTAGGACTCTTCTCCGTGAACAAGCTCATATGCCAATGTGCACAGAGAAAGAGAGGGACATACATGAGAGATATTTGTTATTTTCAGATATGAGAACCACCAGTTTCATTTTTTACTTAAAAAAAAAATGATCACAACATTGCATAGACCTGAAGACCAAAGGGAAGTTTAAAAGGGAAGTTGATCTTTGTGACATCTTACAAAGGAAAGAGGCACACAACACAAAACTGGTTGATTGGAGGCAAGGATGGATCTATCTTATGTTAATCAAAGGCCAGTAAGACATTAAAAGTCACGTTACTTCTACTGTTGGTAGAATTAAGTCACTTGAAAGTGTTGCTAGCATGTTAATTTGTCTTTATTTCTTTGGGTAAGGGAAAAAATTTCCTCTCTTTTTGACATTATAGGACCTAGAACAATATTTTGTTCCCTAGTTTATTTTGTTTGGGTGTAGATACTGACATCCATGTGAAGAGAAGTTTTTTCTTAAGTGTTCTTAAGAAGGATTATCAACATAATTCATCCATACAGTTGCACAAAACAGTAATTTTTTTAAGCTATATGTTATCATGACTAAGAATATTATGACAGAGACTGCTACATGTTCACCAATCTCTGGTCCTTTTCCTCCTGGAACACCAGATAACACTGCTCACCTCTACCAGGCCACATGACTGAGCCTGTCTGATGGAATGTGGATGGAGTCTGCACACCACTTCCGGACTTATGTATGAAACCTTCCAATGCAGAATCCTCCATGCTCTTTCCCCATTAGCAGGCCAAATCGTGCGGTTTCTAAGGATGCAGAGGAGGGCAAAGCCACATGATGGGAGGAGCCTGTGTCTTTGAATCATCCTTAGAGACAAGCTGGTTGGAGAGGAGCATCTAAACAAATCTTATTGTTAGTCACCGAAATGTTGGGGTCATTGGTTATACCTATTAGCCTGCTCCAACTAGGTATGGACTTTGGGTCACACTGCCTGGTTATAAAAACCTCATTGTGCCACCTTGGTCAAGCAACTTAACCTCTTTGTGCTTCTCTTTCTTTGTATGTGACACAGTGATAGTAACATTACATACCTCACAGAGTACTTGAGGGGATTGAATGAGGTATACAGCCTTATAATAAACATGGCATATAAGTTATTATAATTTTATTTCCAAAGAAGACTCATTTTAAGATCATATCCAAATAGGGGTTGCCTACAGAGTTTGGTAGAGTACTAGAAGTTGATTTGTAAAATGAGAAACTGCCCACATATAATGTTCAACTTCAAGAGTGCTGAGTTTTCTAGAAAGAAAATTAGGGAGAAAAAGAGGAGTGGAGGAAGAAAAGGAGGGAAGTAATGAAGAGGGAGGGAGGAAAGAATGAAGACTTCTGTATTTTAAGCAGCGTACGTACTTACCCAACTTGCTATCAGGTCTGATACAGCAAGAATTGAAATATGCCTCAGCATTAGATAGTTAATGTGGACAAAACATATTCTAGAGGCTAACCAACATTTTCTCTTGTCATTGTCTGCAGTAGTACCCTGGATGCCTTTCTGCCCTGGGTACTGAGTATATTGAGTATCTCCCTCTGCCCCTCACCCCCACTCCTGCCTTGCTTTTTTTCTTTCAATGACAAATACTCTCTGGCTTTGTTCACAACTCTTCACTTATCTTGTAAAAACAAACCAAACTGAAATACGCCAGTAGCCCTTTGCCATTTAGTAAGCTTTATTCTAAGGCATGGTGCCTATAAATAAAGCAATATGATGCTAGAAAAAAAGCTCACCAAGTGCACAAACTGTGCGTTTACAGTCTCTGCTATAAATAGATGAAGATTACAGGTTTTTAAAGTGAATGAGAGACTACAGCAAAAATTGTGTGAACTCAGAAAAATGAGTGAAGCATAAAATATACTGTTTGTAATAGAAATGGGTATTTACTCAGTAGCAATGACAGCAAAGTTAAACACAAGGAAATTAGTACTTTGAAGATTTAGTAACAAGGAACCATGAAATGCCCTGGTTTGTGTCTCTTTGGAGTTTCTCAGGAGACACTGCTCACTATATAGGCAAAAATGTGAATATATGAAGTTGGCTATTTATTCGTCAAGATGTTCTTCACTTTTATGAAAGTGAGCTTCTATTTTTCTGAAGTCTCCAAGGCATGAACAAAGGGAACATGTCTGTGGAGAAAGAAGAGCTTTTCTACTCCATAAACAAATTGTGCCTATTCTGAAAAGGGGAAAAAAAAGTAGAGGACTTAAAAAAACTAAATGAGATTTTCTGCAAAGTTACAATGCCCAAGGATAGTTCTGATTTGATGCTTTAGCAGTTTACATGGAATTTTACTCTAGTGGCTTCTCTAAGGTTCTGCAAAAACAAGCAACAAAACAATATGCTATCTCGGAGTCAAAGAAACCATTTTCAGAGCCTAGTGAATATAGCTTCAAAATTCTCCTCTTCCAACAATATCATATGAATGGACTGTAAAGAAAAAACTCTTTCAGGGGTGCCTGGGTGGCTCAGTCCTTAAGCGTCTGCCTTCGGCTCAGGTCATGATCTCAGGGTCCTGGGATCGAGCCCCGCATCCGGCTCCCTGCTCCGCGGGAAGCCTGC